CTCTTTGCCGGTTCCGGGAGGTCCGTACATCAGAGCACCAATGTCTGTCAGTCAAAGTTCCGTGTGTCTCCTCTTGGTCATGACGTACCCTTGGGTGCCTTGATGCCAATCTTCTTGAAACGGTCGGCCTCCTTCATCGGCCACACAATGGCCTCGACGAGCTCCTCAATCTGTTTGTCCAGACCGCCAACATGGGGGGGACTTTTCCGTCGGCTTCTCGTCAACCTCCATGGCCTTGACACGGCTGTCATACTCGGCAGGGAGCGTATCGAGAATGAGGTACGAGTCTTTGTTGACACCAATGAGGTCGCCAGGCTTCAGGGTTGCGGGATCGACGAGGCCGATCAGCGGCAGGAAGATGGTCTGTCGTGTGGACGTCTTGATGACGGCGGACTTGCCGACGCGCGTGGCGTCGAGGTCAATGTTGGCGCCCTCTTCGGAGGACTCTGCTGTGGGGTCGAGATCCAGGAGCTCGACAACGTTGCCGACGAGATATGGTAATTGCCTGGGAGCCGTTGATCAGCAAGGCACGGCGGCGGCAAAACGGACACTGCACTAGAGGTTCCTACCTGTTGTTGGCAATCTTGTCGTTGTTCTCCTTGATCTTCTCTCCCATGGTCGCCTTCTCGTGCGTCAAGTGCTGCACCTCACTGCGCATAATCCTAGAGTCATTCTCTAACAGGCGTTTGCGGGTCTGGATGTCCTGGGTGCTGAGGCCCAGAATCTCGTCGTCGAGAACGTCCTCCTCGTGCTCAGCATCCTCCATGTCGGCATCGTCATTGGCATCAGCGACAGTGGCCTGACGGTCCTTATCCTCGTCGCCGTCGTCCTTCTTCTTGTCGTCCTGATCCCGCCTGTTGACGTCGCCGAGGTCTTCGAGGGACGACATGATGGTGATGTGGCGGGTTGGGGCGTAAGATGCAGTTTAGGCAAGGGTGGTTCGAGATGCGCGAGACGAAGCAGGTCGAGAGGGCGTGCTGACGTCAAAGGCAGGCGTGATGGGGATGGCGGAGGGAGACGTGGTGGTGTTGTGAATTGTTGGTGATTGAAGCAGCGAGTGGTCGTGGAAAGCTGCCGAGCTGTATCGAGCCTTGAGCTGCAAGTGCAAGGCAAGCAACGTCGCGTAATCATCTGGCAGGCCTGCCCTGGCCCGTGCACGGGCTTTCCCTTGGAGCCTTGTGGAGGAAAGATGATCCAAGACTGTGCGTCTGCAGGTTTGCACTGTAGATAACACGGTACATCCGAGAAGACGATGAGATGGAGCTAGGAACAGACAAGAATACAAGAAGTCCAGGGACGAGACGAAAGCCCAGGATCCGCTGATGACGATGTACACTACGCAATAAATACAGTATACGCCAGCACAACACGCCTGTCACGAGGTATAAGGATGCTCAGCGCCAGACAGAATGCCAAACACGCCCCAGCAATACGACACCCATCACACCCAGTTCAGCCCGGCCCTCGCTGCTGGCGCCCAACCCTACTCGTCGTCCAGAATATTGCTCGCTATGCGGCCAATTATGGGCAACTCAAACCTGTCCAGCGTGTCGGCGTCCTGATACGCTCGCATGGCGAGCCATACCATGGCGAAGAGGTCGCCCAGGAAGAAGAGCCAGCTTAGAAATCTCGAGAAGGAGAAGATGAGGTGAATGACTAGTATCGCCGTGAACAAGAGGCTTGCCTGCCACGCGTGAAACCTGTGGTCGTTAGCAAGGGAAGCCTTCACCTAAGCACCTCCCGAGACTATCACATACCTCACATAGTCACTATTCCGCTCCCCAATCAGCAGCAGGATGGCGCCCAGCGGCGGCAGCGCAAGATATGCTGCGCAGGCCTCGTAGTCAAGCCTTAAACCCAGACTTGTATCAAACTCGCTCACACCCTCGCGATGCGCATCTGCCACCGGGTACGCGCCTGGCAGGCTGGGTTGCCAGCTACGCTGCGGCTGTGGGTGCTGGAGCGGCGGCGGCGACGGCTGGCTGTACTGGTCTTGTTGGTATTGGTATTGAAAACCACCGGGGGCGGCGGAAGGAGGAGAGAATGGGTGACGGAAATCCGCCGATGCGCGGGGAGAGGTCGGTTGAGGCGACAGGGCGCGCTCGCGTTCGGGTGGGGAGGACTGGTAGGGTGCGAAGTCCATCGTGGGAGCTCTCGTGATGTTGTGTCGAAGCAGATCACAGCGTTGGCGGCATTCCGCGGTGCTGAGAACAAGTATGCGTAGCGATTCGGTTGTGCGTCTTGTCTGGAAGAGAGCTTCGAGCTGTCTGTTGCCTGGAGCTTGGTGGTTGGAGAGTGGCTGATCAAGGTGATACGTCAGCGTTGCGATGCTGGATGCTGGTGGTTCAGGGTCCGGATGTCGGGCCGCGTGCTGTCGCTGTTGTCACAGGGGCGCAGGCCGCGAACGCCAGCGCCTGTTCAGGCGTACCTGGGGAAGTGGGGCCCACGCATCCATCACTGAAAAGGCACTATTTGGAGTTACGTTGAACTAGAAGCACGAGATGACATCGATCTCTCTATTCGATAAAAATTGATCGGTGTCTCCGAGACGAACACATTCGGCTTGGATCGAAACTAGTACTGGTCATGATAGTGCACCTCACATTGGGTGCAGGAACAGAACGGCGTAAGGTGCAGTGATATGGCTTATCCATCTATCAAATGCCCCTATGAGCATTGTACATTTGTTCGTACAGCTCCCGCAAGCCTCCTATAGTACAGTAATACATTGTGCAGCCGCCACTGATCAGCTGCTCTCCTCCTTCTTGTCGCCCCTGCTCCTCCTCGAGCTGCACTTGCGGCCCTCCCAGCGCCAGCCACACGCTCTTGCCGCCAGCCTCGAGCGCGCTCGTCAGGCCCAGACCAGCAGACTGCAGCATGCCAATGAGACGCGCGCGCAGACCTTCCATGCCACCCTCGATACCGCCGACCCACCGAACGCCGTCAAGTCAAAGACGCTGCCTCGGCCGGCCGCCGGAGAGCAGCAACTTCGCCAGACCGTTCTGGCACAGCGGCTCGTAGTAGCCGGGGTTCTTGGAAGCGTGTCGGCGGCGCCGTGGCGCTGCCAGCCGGTCCCGGTGCGAGGACCTTGAACGCTGCGGCAAGGTGCGCCGGCGACACGGCAGGGAAGACAAGGGCGGCGGTCGGGCCGACGAGGAGGGGCGCGACCTCGGCGTACGCTGAGCTCTCGGGAACCTCGATCTCCTTGATGCTGTTGTAGGCTGCCTCGGACAGGTCGTGGACGAGGGGCGTTTTTTGTCGAGGCGGCCTTGGCGTCGAAGAAGGAGACAATCTTCAGGGCGACGGAGAACATGCGCGTGCGCAGCACGTTGAGCGTCACGTCGGGCACGATATCAACCGTCTGCCCGGCCGGCGCTGGGACTGCGGCAAGCGCGGCTCGCAGCTCGCGGCGGATGCTTGACCACTGA